TACAGAGGGGGATAATATCTAAATGCAAATAGACCCAATATTTTCCAATTGTGGAGTCTAATTTTGGGCACCTAATTTAACTTTTTTCAGGGGTATTGAGCATTTTCAGCTCCCAGTGAAGCCAACTAGAGCTTCAGGTGCTCAGCACCCTCTGAAAAATTAGATCTCATCATTCTCTGACTGGAGTTATTTTCTCAAGGTTACACAGCATGGGGAAAAGTTCAGAACAGAACACCAGTCTTGACTGTCTCTTGCTCTGACCACTCGACTGCATGCTATCTTTAGGCTGATTTAGGAGCATTCTTGGTCATAACTAAGATAGAAGAGAAAGTTATAATGTGGGGCCTTAGGGGAGGTATGGCAATAGGTAAATTAGGAGATCAATACAGGAATATGCTCCGACTTCAATGGAAGACTCCCTTCAGAGAGGATTCTTGTAGCATTTTTAGCTAAAATTGTGTGTAATTGAAGAACTGCTCTTAGGGGCTGTACCACTATCAAATATACAGGGTCAGATTAAGGTATAGAGGCTCTATAGGTGCCTGGGGGCTCTGGCTCCTAGAGTCATGTGATTACATCAGACTCTAAGATTTTGGGAGCAGAAAGTATGGGTGGGGGGAGTTTCTAGCCCTCATGTGCAGGAGCTGTGGAGCAACATTTAAAGAGGGGACCCACCCCCACACTGCCCCCTGACCATCCTCTCCCCTCTCACATGCCCTGCCCCAGCGGCCTCACTCCCTATCCCCATGACCTACAAATCTGAGTGAGTGGCATTGTGACCTGGCTTGTGGGATTCCAGCACCACTTGGGTTTGGCCTGGCCAAAAAGTGGTTGGTCCATATCCCGACTGGTCCGCCCAACTCCCTGGCTTGTGTAGATGTGACTGGTGCAGAGAGGCTGAAAGTAACTCTGAGGTGTGACCTGCCCCATCCACCTTGAGGAGTTGTTAATTCCAAATCCCACTGCTCTGTGGGACCACAACAACACCATTGCATCTCTCATGACTCTGTGTGTGGCAGAAGGAGAATGCAATAGGCTCAGCCCCTCCACACATCCCCAAGTCAATTTCCCAGCAGTCATAGCCCAAATATTGAGGGGTCCTTTTGTTGCCACTCACTCTGCTCCTAGGTGATAGAAAGGGACACTATTAAACTGCTCCTACCTCCAGGATGGGGAGACTCCCCAGTCATTCCCAGGTGGGGGAAGAGCTATGGTACCAAGTTTGGGAGATGTAACAGGCCATGTTAGGATGTGCCTAGGGCCCTGTAAAAGTGAAACTCTGCAAAGACAGGGAATCCTCTCTCAATAGCCACATCTCCAGATGAGGGAACAACTCTTAAAAATGGAAACATTCCTATAAGGATGAGTGTGTATATGTTCCACCCCCCTCTACCTTTCCCCCAGAAAGAAACTTCCATTTGGCTCCACCTGTCACTGCACTTGTGAACAAAAGAGATTCTTCCTTGCTTTCCGAGACAGATTGCCATTTTGTTTGATAAGAAAGGTTACTAGTAGCACTGTAACAAAGAGACTTAAAACAGTGTAAAACGTGTCCCTTACCCTCCCTGCCTGCCAAAATAAAAAAATCTACAATCAACTGGAAAGAATCCCCATGGTTTCCCAAAATATAAATCTTCACCAAGGAAGCCTCAAGAACTGCTGGGAGAAAATGGTGTGCGATTTGGACATGTTAGATCATGATGCCATCTATCCTGGTCACCAATCACTATAGTATCTAGGTGTAAATACCTCATTTCATTTGAGCTAGCTGGCACTCATCCCAGGCAGTGATGATTCTGCAGTTTCCCCCTCCTCTTCCTACAACACACTGGTTTTCAAGTAAGCAGTGCTTCTGACTCACTTCTGCTTTACAACGACAAGAAGAAGCTTCTTCCGGTACCACTGATTAATTGTGGTAGCTAGTCAGCCAGCCCTACATTAATAGCAAGATTATGTGATGCTTCTGAGGCTGAATATGACAAACTTCTCTGGATGTGGCTAGGCCAGCATGAAGTATTCTGAGAGCTAGATCGGGTCTGTAGTACATGGTTCAATGCCTCCGTGTTACAGTGGTAGTGAAGTACGCTTAGCCAGTTTTTCTCCAGTTGAACAGCATTTTCCTCTGAAGTCTGGAAAACTGCATCCATTGATATGCTTTTATAACCGATTTCCTGAACAAATGCCTCATGAAACTATACATGCAGGACCAGATGTCTGTGCTTCCTCTACATAAATATAGTACTCTAATTGAAGATCATCCATCCTTTTATACGTGGGATTGATCTGAGCTGCAATTTTTCATCGATGATTAGAATTAAACTTGATAGCTTCTCTTACGGAACACTGAGAAAGTGTATATTTTCTTCTGTAAATAAGAATAAAGTTGAATACAGTCTAAAAAGCTCCAGAGAATATGACATGGAAAAGTACAGTAATTATACTTTTTGTCTTAGAGAGAAATGTGAAAGAAGTTGTTGGAGAATGCAGGCAATAACTATCCGACTTCCTTGTAAAAATGTGACGTGGACTATATTTCTGCCATTACAAAAAAACCAAAAACATCCCCTCCTGCCCCCCTCCCCTCTCCCCATCAACCACAAATAACCCCAACCTATTTTTTATTATTAAATAAAGAATTAAGTAGGAAATACCAAGAATGGTGTTGGAGGCACTGACAATAAAGCCTGGATTAGTGCTTTCCCCACACCAACAAAAACCAACCAAACAAAACCAGACAGAAGTGTAGCTAGGGTGATCAGATTTCCCAATTTTATAGGGACAGTCCTGATATTTGGGGCTTTGTCTTATATTGGTGCCTAACTACCCCCACCTCCTGTCCTGATTTTTCACACTTGCTGTCTGGTCACTCTAAGTGTAGCAGCTAGGTAGCTTAAGATTCAGCTAACTCCATGGCTACTCGGTTATAACGGATGCTAAGACTTTTAAGTGCGACTAACCCATTTAACCATCAGGATATTGAATAGAAAAAATATGGAGATTCCAAGTGCATGCTTTTGGGGTTTGGTTTGGTTCTAATGATTGCCTTATCTCTTTAGTTGTAATCCCTTTCCCCTGCTACCAACCGGTGCAATGCAATCCAATTGGTTGGCAATCATATTGCAAGCTAAAGAGACTTAGTGCTTTACCAGCGATCCATGGTAAAAGGTTCCTCCAATACTTGTGCGGCAGGTCAGGTTTAAAAGAAGCTGCTCCTTAGAGCAGGGACTGTCTCTTTGTTACATGTTTATACAGAAATGTGGTCTTTGAACCTCTAAGTGCTACTGCACTGTAAACTATAGTGTCTGACTCATAAGGGCAATTTTTCAATTCACTCAGACTGTTGCTGGCGCTTTTTTTTTTATTATTTGCATGTGCCAATTGAACACACATGGGTTTTGCTTGTACATCTACTATTTGGGTGTAAAAGTGATAGTACACAAATCATGGAGTGATGAGGGTGGCAATGGCTTTAATGGACAGGGTAACTTCCTCCCCATCTGTGGCTATCTGATCTGACTAGCAACAGCTGGGATGAAAGGCCGCAGCTTGGTCAGAAGAGAGTGGCAGCCAGAGAGGCTGGGGATCACCCTCATGGGAAGCTTCTCAGACACAGCTGGCGAGGAGCTGCCTAAGGCACAGGCCCAACAAGTGCACCAGGAGTGGGGTCAGATACATGGGAACAGCTAAGTGGCTTGCTTTCCCTCTACTACACAAAGTGAGGGAATGGACCGAACTTACTAAGTCCCTTGTAATAGACCCCTAGCTTACAATAACAGCAGGGGTTAAAGAGGAGTCAGCATAGGTTGGCAAACTGAAAGGCCAATGTATCCTCAATGGTCGCATAAGTAGAGAGGAGGGGAACGGCACCCCCTCACACCTGCATACTCAAGTTGTTTGGGTGAACAAAGAGGTGTGTATAGAAATGGAGAGCAGGTTGAGGCCCCTTTGAAAATGGGACCCGTATAACTTCAGTAAAGAGAGATTTATTCGCAATTCAGACCATTAAGTTCATAATGTCCTAGTCAGCACTGTTAAGATCGACCTGGTAGACTAAAACACCCTATCTCTAGTTTTAACATCAGTTATTTCAAGGTATTTATTTGATACCATGGATTTTCTTTTTAAATTACTGATTCTCGTGTAAAAAGAAAAGGAGGACTTGTGGCACCTTAGAGGCTAACAAATTTATTTGAGCATAAGCTTTCGTGAGCTACAGCTCACTTCATTGGATGCATTCCCGATATATTTTAGTAATCTTTGGGGGCTGTGTCTGGATTGTTTTTTTGCCATGGGGAAGAAATATACAGAGTGAAAAAATAACTGTTCATAAATTAGGGGTCCCTGTACTTCTTGGCATCCATTTCAGTTACTTTGGGCTATATCCCTGCTCAGTTATATTGGTATAAATCCAGAGTAAGTCCAATGGTCTTACCCCAGAATTACAAAAGCATGACTGAAATAAAATTTTTCCTTGAAAGTTTCAGTGAACATGAAACCTGGCTGATACTGAACATCACATTCCGACATATGTTTGTTTACACAGTGTATGTTAAACAATAAGAAAGGGTAGTGTGGGGTATGGAAAAGTCTCTTTAGTTACCCATATTGGTAAAAGAACTTCCCTAGTAGAAAGTCACATTTCCTAGCCTTGTGTTCATATATAATGAAAGAGTCTCATGCCCTACATAACTGATGCAAACTAGCTGAGCTAAGAATGCTGAGAGATCCTCAAATTTGAATTTCAAACTGACTCTAATTTTTTCTTCTTCTGAATTTTAAGAGTTTTAAATGAATCCTCTCGCCAACCACTGGTGTTTCTCCTTTTCATCTTGGGGTGAAATGGAGTCAATATGGATTTGGGTTTTTTTATTTTAAAAAAATAATCCAAACCTAAGAGACTGGCCCAAGCCATGGAGTTTGGATCTGGACTGAAACTTCTCTGAAAAGGTTGGGCAGATAAGAAGGGGAGGGGAGATTCGGAGTCCCAGTTGAGTCATTACCTTTTAGCATTGACGATTCAAAATGCTGTTTATCTAGATCTGAAGATTCACCTGTGGAACTGCAATGACATTATTAATGAACATAACTGCAATAAGAAAAGTAGCTTGTATACACAGCACTTGCAATTCAATAACTGCATTCCCTCTTCTTCTCAGAACTTGGTATTTGCAGTGCTCTTCATGCCTGACACTTCAAATGCCCCAGAATGGAATCTATGGAAGAAGAAAGCATTGGAGGATACTCCTCTGAGAGTAGTTACACTGAAGGCAAGGAAGAGCCCCTGAGAAGTCCAACAGTCGAGCAGGTCAGGCTTCTTTTGGGTTTGAGGCTCACAGCATTGTGGTTGGGCGAGGAATTTGTGGTTAAAGTAGCTTGGCCTTGCTAGGACTGGCTGAGGAATAAGAGCAGGTTTTTCATAATAATTTAGGTGTTAAGCCACCACTTGCCATCTGCTGTTTCCTCCCTTAACAAGCCCCTACTGTGGCTTGTTTACCTTAATTGTAGTTTAGTGGCATTTCTCCCAATGTAACTCTGTCATACTCAACAATTTATGATGCAATCACCAGCCTTCCAGCTGTGGACTGGATTGGGCCCATTACAGCCCATCTGTGGCCAGAGAGATTTGTGGTAAGCAACCAGCCCAGGGAGCAAGTTAACAAGACCCAAAACTCAGCCCTAGAGTGTATATGTAGAGGACCATCCTTAGATAACCCTAACACAAGGGGGAATGTACCTAGGTATAGAAAAGTGTAGTCTCTTAGTTTTTATGAAACATTGAACTTGTTTTCATAGTAATTCAAACAAACTCGGGGAAATAAAAAGAATATTTTTCAATACCATTTTTGGGATATTCAGTCACTTTTTTCCCCCTGGCATTTCAATCCAGTGGTAATTTCATGTTAGGAGGTTGAATTACCAAAAGTAATACTTAAATGGGCCATGACTCATGATGCAAGGTTTTTAAAACCTAATTTTAATGTATAGTAGCAGGTTCATTTTGCCCTGCTACATCCATTTCAGATTTCTCTTTGCTCAGGGCATATAATATTACAAGACCTGTCTCAGTGAGGCTATGAAACCCTTAGTAGTAACCTTTCAAGCCTGGAAATCTGGCAGATTTTGGTGACTTGCACTGCTCCATTCAAGGAACTTTGTTGCTCTTAGGATATGGAGCCACACATCAATATTTGACATGACTGAGACCAAAAGAGTATTTTGGTTTCAGCTCATTTATAAAAGCAAGCTCAGTGCAAAAATGTTTACTGTAAGCTACTATGATGAGAGAAGTGAGATCCCATCAACGTTAATGTTCAGGACTGGAGCAGTTAAGTTGGATAAAAAAAAACAACCCCAAAGAGACTTTTCAATCATGCTTACAAACATCTCACCAAGGCACTCACTCTTGATCATAGTACTATCAAAAAAACGAATGGCAAAGTGTGAAGAGAAATGAAAAGCATCAAGGATCACTGGGGAAGAATATTGTAAGGAGTTATATGAGATAATCTAAGGTGTGTTCCAGAATGCACCTAGAATATCAAGGCTGTCTGCAAGTACTGATTACACAGCCATAAAGAAATTCTTGTGGACAGAGACTGAAAGTAACATATAAGGAGGAATAAAAGTTCAACCTAGAAAGGTCCATGATTTCAAAGGGGTAATGATCTTACTGGAGGAAGTATGACCATGGGACTGAAAATTAGGTCTGGGATATGTGTTCTGATCTTGGGCAAGTCACTTAAATATTTATCTCATTTTCCCCTTCAAAATGCTGCCTTGTCTCTCAGAGGGAAGGAGAATGGGAGAGGGGGAAGTAGTTGTGAGGCTTAATACATTTTAATGTTTGAAAGTTGATTTGAGATACTTTGACAAAAGCTGTTCCAGAACTACCGAATAATACCTATAGCAAAAGCATAGTATATGCTGCTATGATTGAGTTAATAAGAGGACTGGAAAGCATGCTTGTCTTTGAAAAAATCTGCCAAAGCATTTGGGGAAGATTGGTGTAAATCAAACTATGATGATGATGATTCCTAAGAAAGAGTTTAAGGAGATGAGAAGGCTGGACAGATGTTATATATGTTACACAAGGGAATGGAATTCCTGCTAACCGCTCTTCTGGATCCCAACAAGAGCAAGATTTGGGATCACTTTCTGTGCAAGTATTTTGGTGGAAAAGGCAAAAGTAATTAAATGACCTGCCTTTACATGAGTTTCCTAAATTATGAAAGTGTTTTTGACTAAGACTGTATCCACAAATATATGCTGTAAGGTCTGACATACCCTTTATAATCTTTACAATAAGATTTGTGAGTCTGTTTCTGTGATTCCAAGCAGTAATAGTGTAATACCAGGATGACAATTTCAAGAATACTATAAATATCTGAATCCTGGGTTGTATCTTGCTGCTGTATACAAAATATTATCTTGCTGTTGCATGCAAAACATATTCTTCCATCATGTTTTCCTCATTATTGGTACACATCATGCTGAATGATCAAGGCAGACATTAGCTATAGTAACAATTACATGTTTGCCTCACAGAACCATGTCAGTTCACCTTCCAGTTTTAAGCAACTGTATGAGTGGAAACTGATCCAGTGAAGAGCCCAACAGTGTTTTCTGCAAGAAAACCCTTAAGCTTTGCATTTTCCCTGCTGGTGATGTAGGATACCAGACAATTCATGTTATGCTATGAATGCAACTTGCCTTGTATTAGTTAGAATAAATGCCTACATCTCTCTACCACACATATGAACACCCATTGCTAGAACTTGTCTGCATACTTCCTTAAACTGGAATTTAATTGCTTTGTGTTTTTAAGGTTCTGTGCACCAATATATGACCCACAATCCATGTCACTGATATTAAGAATGAAATATTTCACTTTCTTCCGAATCACATTTGGGACGTTGGAAAAAGAGGGTTTTGTACAGAGTAAATGGAGGTATCGCTGCTAACAGGGAAGGAAATCAATTACTCTTCGCTCAGAAGCATTACCTTGCGGGTGCAACTATTTAATGTCTCCTTTTTGAATAGCTTTGAAAGTGCAAGATACAAACATAGATCTAATTGTTGCTGCAGTTCCCACTTCCTACCTTGATCTGGCTCATGGGTGAACTAATATTTGAGAAGTATACATTATGCAATATTTCAGCATAAATAATTGCATCCAAAAAACTATGTTAAAAGAACACAGAGATTACAAAGTTGAACACTCAGATGTTAGGAAATGCCAGGATTCAGGTTGCCCATGCCACCTTAATTTGGCCCCTTGTATCACAATGCATATGCAGCCTTTAATTACACAAAAACATACTATTATTTTCCACAAGATCCCTGTCTTGTGTGGTGTGCAGGATGGATGAATAGTGCACTGGGAATGAATCAGGGTTATTGTGTAGTGAATGAGACTGCTGTCTGCAAGACTTCTTGTTGCAAAAGGTGTATGGTGAACATGGCAGGGGACTGCAGGAAGAGAAAGGATTGGCTCATGGTTAAGGCAGTTGGATACCATCCTGGGGGACTGGATTCTATCCCGGCCTCTGCCACAGAGTTTTGGTGCGATGCTGAGCAAATCCCTTAAACTAAATATTCATAGTCACTGATTATGTGTTCCTTGTGTTTCTGGTTGCCCAATTTGAGACATCTAGGGCCAGAGTAACAGAACTGCTGAATGATCGTAACTAACTGAAGTTGATCAGAGCCATGCTTTAAACATATAAAAGTGCTATAAAAACACCAAGTACTCTGAAAAATCAGGCTCTAAGTGCCTTAAATTGGGCATCCAAAATTAGTGGACATGTGACAATTTTGGTCTTAATCCCTCTGTGCCTCAGTTCTCCATCTGTAAAAATGGCAACAATCCCTCCTATTTTCACTGGGATATTGTGAAGATAAATTCATTAATGTTTGTGAAGCACTCCAATGCTATAGTGCACCACAGAAATGGCTAGGAAGGGTTTGAATGGTGTGTATTTAAATAAGGCCTGAGGCCACACACTGAAAGTGGAGGATAAAAAAAAAATCGAATACATACCCATTCACTGAATAAGCCTTGGGTCCTATGGAAAAGTAGTGTGTGTTCATGAAACTAAAGACAGTATCATAAAACAAGGGAGTTGAATTATGTGTAAATCTGACATTTATTAACTTTTGAGTGTTTGACTTTAAAATCTTAATGTTCTTTTTTTAATGTAATTTTTTAATGTAGTTTGATTTAAAAAAAAAAAAAAAAGAACCAACACACCTCCAATTAGCAGCAGCAGAGCTGCAGAATCCTGGTACCATGCCGCAGAATTTAGGTCCAGCGTCCTACAGCAGTGCTTCTCAAGCTAGCTGATGTGGGGGACCGGCAATTTTTTTTCCAATGTGCGCACAGACTGGCAGCTGATGGCTCGTGGACTGGCACCGGTCCACGGACCACCACTTTGAGTAGCGCTGTCCTACAGAGTGCCCCATGCCTCAACTGTAATCTACTTGGTTTAGTATGTCTGAGTGTCTCTCACGCAAGTGGCTGGCCCCAATGAGGAGGACAGTCTGCTTTTTACTTACTACTGAAGAAGTTACTAGGATGGCTCTAGTGGTAAGTGTAATAGTGCCATTGCCATGTTACAGGGGTACATATAACCTTTTGCTAACCTAACCCATGCCCTGTGACTGAGGCCAAGAAATAAAGATTAGTCTCTTACCAGCTTTCTTGTGTGGCACAACCTTGTTACCTAGGGGATTGTACCTTTGACGTGGTGAAGGTCCCAAATTTTATGACTAACTGAGTCAGGCCAGTCTGAAGCAATCTGATGTACAGAAACATGCATGTGGGCTTGTGAAAGTATTTAGCCACCAGAGGGCTGTGTGGCCACAATTTTTTGGCAGGTTCTTGGCCCTTTATTGGTTCAAATGATCCAGTCACTTGACTCAAGTGGGTGAATGGGTCTGTGTGCGTAAAGAGATTTGACTCTGAAATGAGTAACCAACTTTTCTTACGTCTCTGCTCTGTTCCTAGAAAACCCCCAGTAAGCCCGATTGTGGCTTACTTCTCTTTCCTAAATTCTTCAAAACCCCAGTTTGGTAGTCAGCACCTTCTAACGTAAGCTATATAAAGGTGGTACCATTGTGTAGCGAATGCAAACCTGCCTTGCACCATAACCAATCCTAAAGTGTACTCGCAAAGTAATGAGGATCCAAACTAATCTGGGTGACGTGGGGGTAATATAAATCTCAGTTCATACGCTTGTCTGTTATGCCCAGTGAAGGGATTCTGTATACTATCCAAAATGAACCATTCCATGGAGGAGTGGGTAACTTGGGGCATGTATAGGCCCTTGTCTGCAATGAATAGCTGTTTGATAGTAGCATGCATAGATCTGATTACTCTTCCCACACTGGAGATGGGCACAGAAAGTGGGGGGGGGGGGAAAGAACGGTGATGCTTTTACTATATTTGAAAGAAACAAAATATTATTTTTTAAAGAGAAGCAAGGAGCCTTCATTTTGTTATCTGGACTATTTGGGAGGGGAAGGGTAGCTATTTAAGTAGACAACAGATGTGGTTACTACTACCCCTGGATAGACAAACGAACTTTTTAGACTTTAGTCATCCTCTCCCTTTTCCAATTACTCATGTGGATTTACATATCTGCCAACATTTCAGATCCATAAATAAGGCCACTAGAGGGAAAAGTTTTAAATCCTTTGATGCACACTGGGCTAATAGAAGACTTCGGAGGAAAAGGGGACATTCAGCATATAGGAACAGGCATAAAATTGGTGCCATTTCGTCTCCTGGGTTGGAGGAGCTGAAAGTTTGCTCAACCGTGATAAATCAGTGCAACTGGCTGTGTTGTTCCCACATGTTAAATTATGTCCTGGCTGATGGCGATGATGAGTGTGTGTGGCTTGGAAAGGGTGTGGATGTTGTTGCATGTGCCTTAAAAATGTATGCTCCCAGCTGCAGTTGTGCGCCGGGGCGCTGAAGCTAGTGTTTTTTCTGTGTCTCCAGGGCAGGGTTTAGCGCGGCTGGCTCCGTGTCACACACAGATGTGACTCTTGTCTTCCCCCGGCAAACGTACAACCGGGACGGCTCCCGCCTCCCCCCCCCACAAAAAAAAAAAAAAAAAAAACCTTAAAAAAAAAAAAGTCTCCAGCTCCCACACCCAGCAGCGGCAGAGCCCCGGGAGCTGATGGAACTGGTTGGGGGGGCGCAGGAAATCGGGACCACGAGCAAAAACTTCAGCGCTGCCTAACTTTTCTCTTCCCTTTTAACGCGCTTCCCGGGGACTTTCTCCCATTTTCCTTCGGGTTGCGTCTGCTTTTTTTTTTTTTTTTCTCACCCCCCCCCCCCTTTCCCTTCCCTCTCGCTCTCCAGCGGCGGCTGGACGCCTGGAGCTGATAAGGAAGAGGAGAAGCAGCCGCAGGAGAGCTCGCCGCCGCGGCGAGGGGGAACCGGCCAGAGGGGGAAGAGAGCCCGAGCCCGAGCACACGCGCGGCGAGGTCGGCTCGCAATAAAGCTTGCCGGGGCTGCTTTTTTTGACAGCTGGGCTCGAGGGGCCTCGGTGGGACACCTCTCCCCCCCACCCCCGCCCGGGTTTGCACTTGCCCCCCCTCCCCTCCCTGCCCCAAGAGCCATGCAAAGCGGCTGAGGGTTAAAGGGGAGCAAGGAAGCAACATAGTCCTTTCCGATCCCCTGGCAAATCCTCCCTCCCCTTCCAGCCAAACAACCCAACAACAACAAACCAACCTGTGGAGGCTTCAGACCCAAACCTGGGTCCCTCCCGCCCCCACAGCAGCTCGCTGTTGAAAGGTCTGTCTCGCTGCTGCTGAAGTTTTGGGGGCTGAAGGTTTGAAGAGCTCGAGAGACTTCCCCCCCTCCCCCGTTTCTTGTTTTTTTTTGTTTTTAGTTCAAATCACCTGAAGGCTTGAGAGTGAGCGGGAGTGGGGCTGGGGTGGGGGGCAGAGAAAGAGGAAAACCGAGGCGAGCAGAGAGAGCCCAGAGGCAGAAGGAAGGGGCTGGTGCAGGCAAGGCTGCTGAGAGGAGATCAAAAGACAGGGGGTGCACTTGACAACCAGCATGCAGAGATGGTAAGAAGTTTCCAACAGCTTTTCGGTTTCATTCTAGCCTTTACTTTTTATTTTGTTGTTAATACATTGTGCAGTAACCAAAACAGCCCGGCTCGGGAGCGTGTTCCAACAAACAGCTGGGGGCGGAGGGGGGGGGGAGACATGTGCTACGTTGAAATAATGATTTAAGTTCTCCCAAACTTTCAGGCAGTTTGGGATGGGATGGCCACAGGATTTTGCTGCTACTTTCCTTCTACCAAAGGTGAGGGGATAATGTTTTGTGTGGTTTTTTTTTTTTCAAAAGTTTCCGGGGGGGGTGAGATTGAATTAGACGGACTGTGGGGTGAGCTTCTTTTGGAAACCACCCTCTGCTTGGAAATGAGTAACGTTTGCACACCACGTAAAGGTCACCTTTGAAAGTGGGAGAAGAGGGGATGGGGGTGGGGGGCGAGGGTGAGAGAGAAACAGCGCCTGAGGCAGGGAGACAGAAGTGTAAATCCACCTTCCATCAGTAACTCTTTCTTCTCTTTTGCTTGTGCATGTGCTTGCAGTTTACACCTTTCCCATCAGCAGTTGTGCCCAGAACTTGTAGGGAAATATTGATGTGCTCACTGGAAGAGGGAAAACAGCTTTCAGAGCATGTTTGCCGGCTCTCCTGTGAGTAGATGAAACGAGGCCAGTTCTTTTACACCAGGATTTTAGGAAACAGGTTTTTTGTTTTAATGAAAAACATATTTACATTAAAAATAAAAACCGAGATGACTCAGGATCTCAATTTGTTGAAGTCCTCTCGCCTGGGCTGTGGTGTGAGGATACCTTTACAGCTGCAAGGAACAAGCACGTTTTAGGAAGCAAATGTATATGAAGCTTGACAGTGATATTTCTTGGGTTAAAAAGTATAGTTCGTTCAGCTAGTGAGGAGCAGGGACCAGCCCATATTGAATAAAGTGGTGTGTTGCTTGACCACTCCCATGCTTTTAGTAAGCTTCCACAGTAAATTGCTATTGTTTACCCACACTTGGGGATTGGATGTACTGTGGAGATGGGATAGTATCTATAAAAAGGGGGGTGGGGAGGAGAGGAATGAGACAGAGGGTTAGTATTTTTTCCATTCCTTCCTTAATGTGGCATGTCTTATTTCAGTGATGAAAGCCACAATTCTTGGAGTGTAGGAAATGCCACTGTTAAATGCAGGCAACAACAAAACCCCACCGAAAACCAGGCTGGGGAGGGGAAAAAAGCGGCATGTGCCCAGGACTGGTTACAGCAACAGGGACAGAAATTAAAGTGGTTTTGAAAGCAGCATGCAAATTATGATGATTCCCATTTACCCCAGAGTCAAGCTGTTGTAAAATTGATGCACAAAAGACATGTAATAATCTGGCGTACTCAGGATTAAAGTGGCAGAGTGTCTTTTTTGTTGCTGTTGTTCAACCAACAGTTAAAATGTCTTTTAAGTAAGCAGTCAAAGCAAAATATTACATGTTTCTCCTTTAAACTTGTGTGTCCTTCAGACATGGAAGCTAATTAAATGTTCGAAGACAGGAGAGGACTTTATTTTTCATTATAGTATCTTCCATATACCATCTATATTATCGCTCATCTCATAGTCAGGAATTACTTTTAAAATAGGGTAAGCATTTTTCGTCAGTAATTATAGAGTTCATTTCAGACAATAATATTTAATAAGCCTGATCAGCAGATACTGCTTAAGAATACCAAGTCCCTGAAAAAGTATGTGTAACTTTCCTTTCCCTTAAAAATTGGAGAAATCTTCAGTCTTATATTTAATGAGGCATAAGTCCTCGGTGTTACACTAGTTTCATTTTAAGCTGTCCAGCATTAATGAACCTTCTAGCTGTATGTATGTTCTTCTTTAAATTCCTGAAAAGCATGAGATTTAAAAATCAGATCACTAGATCTTTTGCAAGTTATTTATTTGGTAATTTTACATGATTCAGATGCAGGATAATATGAATGTTAACTTTTGTACTTATTTGCTATGAGAGAAGTTAGAAACTGCTTTTCAGACCCCAAAATATGAACTGTTCGGTATGCACAATGCTTAAACACAAAACAGAAGGGTTCTGGTTTAGTCTATTAGTTTTAAAAAAAATTGTTAAAATATTTTAGGTGGACAAATCTAGGAGATGTATGTGTTTGTTCACACTGTTTGAGTTTTTATACTTGAAGTGTATGTGACAGATGGAGATATGCGATTACATATAACAGAAGCAGTAAAGGAACAGACAAAAGCAGAGCTGACTATTTCTGTATTAAAATGTAAGTGCTACAGTTTGACTTTTCAAATGAGTTTTTGCGTTCAGTGCTTTACATAACATTTTGTCCTAATCTTGCTTGCTGTCAGGGATGTTTCATGGTTGTGCAATTGCTGCAGTCAAGAATGCCAATTTGCATTCCAGGAGTGTCATTTGATTACTTTTATCTGCACAGCTCCAAGACTGGCCCAGACCTCTCATTTCATCTTGCCATGTCACGAGTCAATGCTGTGTCGTCTTTTCAAAAATCTGCCTGATTTAGACAAGAAAGAAAAGTACTTTCATGTTGCAGCCGCACTCCCCTGCTAACTTGTCAGCAGCAGGATGTGATTCGCTTGGGCCCAGAAGAATGGTACAGAGATGAGGGTTAGGCGGTTCAATAAGCCCGTGGACAGGTAGTGTGTGACATCCCAAGAGAGCTTAAGTTAATGAAGAACAGGTCTGCTTAGTTCTCCACACTCTGACCTCGTGCTGTCCCCACAGTTTTCTCATTTGATCTTTCCCAGCAAATTGATCTTTTCTTGTATTTTCTTGCCTTCCAAGTTAGTCCTTATGGGACTGAAATTAGCAGAGCAACTTAAGTTGGATAATACAGCTGTTCAGAAAAGAAGAAATTGGACACGAGCTCAGAAGGGGGAAGGGGAAGAAAGCTATTCTTTTTGTTGTTGTTACTGAGAATTTTTTTTATTTTATTTTAAAGGACTTCAAAATAGGCAGTAGCTTGGAAGTTCACTTTTTTTTCATTTTAATCTTTCTGGATGGTCTTTTTGCACGTTTGTTTTTTCTAAGCGTACATATTTGAGACAAATAACTTAGCAGTATATAGTACACGTTTGTTTTAGTATTTGTCAGCTGAACTTGTTAGAAATGATTTGCTAGTCTATAATGAGGCTTTTACAGTTACAGTGAGACATGCTAAATATCAATTGCACATGCACTACATTATTTATAGTCTGCCAAATAAGTATAATTCCATAGTATCCAATACTGAAATGCAGAAGAGATTAAACAATAAAAGCCATTACAAATGCTATATGTAAATATTGTGGTAGGTGAAAATATAGTTTGCAAGTTAGCACCCACATTAATAGTTTTCTGGAATACAAGCTCATGGAAACAACATTGTTTTTGAATTAAGGTACACTATGTTTAAAAACTGGGGTCTAAAATAGGGGGTATAGTATTACTTTGTCTAAGTATCTTTGTTTTATTTTTTCACTGCATGTAATGGTTGAAATGTATTTTAATACATACATGACTAACTTGTCACATAGAGTGTAAGGTTTCAGGTTAGAATTTTTTAAGTTGGAAGTGATGAAGAGATTCTTTAGTTTGCTGCATAATAATAAGTAATATTTAACTTTCTGGGTTTCATAGCAGATGTTCTCATTTATCATCCACATCTTTGCAAGATGTAGTATTGAAAACATTGCTGAATAAAAACAAAAACACTTATCTAAGGGAAATGCTGCACGCTCTCTCTCTCTATTGCTTTTTAAAATGGAAAGGAAATGGAAAGGATCATTGGTTAGTTAAACTCCTCTCTGCAGAGCTACTGGGAGCCTCTTGATTTTATTAGATATGCCTAAGGTTTAAAAAAATGAAAACATACTCAGAAAAATTGAATGGTTATGAAAAGAAGTTAGTAATCAACATAGATCTAGTGTTTAGGCTTTGGGGATGACTTTATTGTGTTTTAGGTGTGATGTATGTGCATATCAATAGGATTTGCAGTTGACTCCTATAACTCTCAACAACTGGTTTTAATTTTCAGAAAATTAAATTGAAGTCCAACTAAAATGCATTTGAGACATTGAATTTATAAAACAAACTTCCATTTTTTTATTATTTTTATTATTATTTTAATTGAACGGGTCTTTGAAGAAGTCCCTTTCACACATTGGACACCGGCCTTCAAAAGTTATATTATTTTTGTTAAAGAACATTTACATAATGAAAATCCTCTTTATTTTCTGCAATACATGTTTATATGGTTCAGTTTGTGTTTGACTATAAAACTAGTAAAGTCAGTCATAGAAAAGACAAGTGTTACATGTAAAGATTCCTATATAATGTAGAGGGTACAATTAGGACAGAGGATTCTCTTTAAAAAATGGATAGGCTATGAAGGAATAAGTAACAGTTACTATTTTATTTAAATAAATGGTACTTAACAATTTAATGAAATATTTGTTTGTTTAATCTCACATTTTGTGTCTATCTCTTTCCACCTAATTTGTGACATGTTGACATTTAAAAATCCCATTGATCATAATTGCTGCATAATAGTCCTATGCTAGCTTTTATGAGCATTACTTTGAACAAACTTATTTACCATTTAAGTAAATGATATAATCCAGTGAGATAAACTGCCAGATTTGTCTGTTTATCTCTTGCACAGCACAGTAGCTCTCATTCTGTTGCTAGCTAGTAAAAGCTTTTATTTGTTGCTTATTAGAACCCTTAGTACACTCAGGAGTTCAGCTGTAATTTAATTTGGTTGTTCAAAGACGCTCTTCGGTTGTTTTAGAATGTTTTCATAGCACAGTTTTACCACACGTTATAAATATGTATGTTCTACTACAATACATAGGCAGATAGGGTTGCAGGTAAATCAAGGCTTTTTCATCTTACACTGTTGAGTTTGTTTCTGGACTTTGTGCTTCTAGAATAACTTAAACTAAGTAATAAACCATGAATGCAGATAACTTCAGATTTGTTTTCTACTTATCACTGTAGACT